AAAAAAGTAGGTTTGGGGGATATTTTAGGAAGTCTAAGTAGCCGAGTTGCCCTAAGTAGCATTTATAAAGTAGAACGACAGTGGTGCAAAGTAACAAAACTCTTCCTCCAGATAATATAAAGAGGTTCCACTTGAACACCACCTCAGTTCATCTTTTCCTAGCTTCTGCGCATAGTAAGGGGGGATTTATTGGTCATTTAATAGTTTAAAACACTTTAATTATTAATTAAAAGCAAATCCGAACTCCAACAAAAAAAAATGACATCCCTTTTTAATTGAGAGATTCTTTGGTCATATAGTGGACTTAAAACACTCAACTTATTAGTTAAAAACAAATCCGGACTCCAACTTAAAAATATATATATATATCCCTTAATTACCGAAAAAACATATATCCTTTTAATTAACATGTTATGTTTTTTTTATAATGAATTAACATGTTATGTTATATATGAGCTTATTTACGATACTTCAAAGTATTGGTGCATATACCATTTGAATTTGCGTCATAATGTTAAAAGTATAAATTTAGTTTGTATTATTGTGTAATTTGTACATATATGTATATGTGCAAATAGATCCATAACATAAAATGTATACTTTTAAATTGTATCGTAAATGAATTTGTATGAAAAGATTTAGGTACAATATAACATCAATTGAAACAACCAATGGTATGAAATATTGTAAAAGCTCCTCTATATATATTTGTTAAAACTGTTATTAGTAGCGGTGTTTTATTGTATCCATTTAGGCAATTTAGCTTATTGTTATAACCACTCCTTTATTAGTTTTTGATAAATCATAATTTATTTTTTAAATTCAAATTATAAATTTTTAACTAAAAAAATGTTATTCTAGCATCATATAGCATCATGTATAGCATCATTCATGAACTTCTCGGGCTTCTACCCTATTTCAAAACTCATTACTTAGGTTTTTCTTTTTTTGTTCATCCTTATAATTCAAATTATTATATAATTCATCAGAAGAGAATTTTTCTATCATATCTTCTATAATGGTACTCGATCTATGCATTGATTCCTAATCATATCCCCCATCAATTTTTTGTAGATTGTCATGAAAGTGTCTCACCTTGATGACTGAACTTTGACTAAGATCCCAATCTTTTCAAATCAACTTAGAATAATCATGATACTCCCCTCTTGATTCATGATTTACAAATTGGGAAATCAAATCTGCAAAGATATAAGAAAAATTACAACATATCTATTGGAGAATAGTCAACCCATAAAGGTTATTCATTAGATATGACAATTTTGCCTATATCCATGAGTATTTTACTACTTAACCCAATTGGTTTGGGTATGAAATTCAAATAGATGGTAAATTGGTAGAGTTTGATGGGTTTGTAGCAAGGACTGAAATACCGTACCAGAGGTTGTATCAGAAAAGTCACTGGTAGGGTATTTTATGCTAAAACCGTGGTTCAACTGCTTCATACTGTTAAATACAGCCTATCGATTTTTCTGATCGAACCGCCAGCACGGTATTTCAATCCTTGGATTGTAGTCATGCTCCTTTATTTGGATTGGGTTGGGTTGGATTTTAAATCCATGGATTTAGATTTATACCCATTTGTAAATTACAGTTTGGAACATAAATTTAATAGGTCTTTAGATTTAATACCTAAAATTATTTTTTTGCATATAAGTCCTCAAAATATTGAAGAAAAATTATATGTTAGTACCTAAAATTTTTATGTCTTACATTTTAGTACCTAAACTTTTGAAGTTTCACAAATAGGTCCAGTTTTAGGATGAGTAGTTAAAACACCCTCAAGTAAATGAGTATTCGAACCCAACCCATACCCATACCCATATAGATTATGAAAGGAATTTTCATATCCTACCCAAACCCATCTACAATCCCCCAAACCCATATATACATCACCCATACCCTATCCATATTCGATAGGTCTATTTGGATTTGGGAAAAATTACCCATGAGTGGGTAATTGCCATCCCTATTATTCATTAAGTTTTCATCTATACATTATCAAATTTGTGTTGATCCCTGAGTAGTTTATCCGTGTTGGGAGAAAGAACAAATCTCATAAAAATTTAAGAGACGTAAATTATACTACATGTAATATTTAGTGTTTCCAAACATTTTACTATTAAAGATTGGCTTTCAATGAGAAATAAAAGAAAATGAGAAGGAAGAACATATTGTGAAGATAAAGGTTTCGTTAAGAAAGACAAATGCATTGTAATTGGTGGAGATGTTTGTGCTTTAGAGGGAGGAGGCTGAGCTATACAAGAAATTCAAAATTAAATTTGCACAAATTTTTTTATAGTGAGGAGCAAATATTTTGGTTCACTAAATTTTTAGAAACCGATTTTCTTGCATGACTTTTAGTTTTTTACTTTCAATAAGGACTTGAGTCAATAAATCTGGTTAGCATGGTAAATCGGGTTAGTATGTTAAAAATTATATGAATATGGTATTTTCAGTAACTAAATGATTTGGAATTCGTATGATATGAATTAATACAGTCTCACTTCGAACAATTATTATAGTCATTTACACTACTATTGAAATTCATCCGGCCAACGGGCGGGCCCAAATCTAGTATTCAATAGAGAATTACATTGTAACTTTAATTAGTATCAGTAAAATTCCCCCACCGTGACATTTATATACCAAGTTACCAAAATACAGTGACAAAAAATATAGACTAATTACGTTGGTGAACCCGTTAGTGAACTAGCTAGTTTTATCATTTACTAGGTGATTCTATGCCGCGATTCGCTGCTGCTGTGTATAGGATTTAGATGTATTGTTTGTTAACCCGTATTTGATTTGTTATCGCATTTAGCAGATTTTTAATAGAAAAATCCTATAGAAATCTAAATTCGTTAGTGATATTACATGTATGAAATGATTTAATCATGGTTGAACTATGATTTTAGCATAAAATGCCCTAATGTTAACTTTTCCGGTACGACTTTCGATATGACTTTACATTTTTAGGTTTTTTGTGAACATGCATCGATGCTCGGGTTGGAGCAACTTGTCAAGCATGATTCAACCACCAATGAGCTATGATTTTAACAGAAATACCCTAATGATAACTTTTCCGGCACGACCTTCGGTATGGTCTTACAATTTTTTTCCTGAACATAAATTGAGACTCGGGTTGAAGCAACATGTCAACCCTTATTTTTAATCATGGGTGAACTACGAATTTAGCACAAAAGACTATAATGCTAACTTTTTTGGTACGACCTTAGGTATGGTTTTACAATTTTTGCTTCTTTAAACATAAATCGAGGCTCGAGCTGGAGCAACGTGTTAAGCCTGATTTAACCACAGTTGAACTATGATTTTAGCACAAAATGCTCTAATGTTAACTTTTCTGTTGTGGCCTTCGATTTGGTTTTACAACTTTTAGTATATCTGAGCATAAATCGAGGCTCGGGTTGGAGCAACGTGTCAAGTCTGATTTAGCCACGTTTGAACTATGATTGTACTATACTGGTGGTCAAAATATTATAACTTAATCTAAATCGCTAGGTGATTTTAGCTTATTGAAATGATTTAACCATGATTGAACTAAAATTTTAGCACAAAATACCATAATGCTAACTTTTCCAGTATATGATTTTACATTTTTTCTGAACAGAAATCGAGATTCAGATTGGAGTAACTTGTGAAGCCTACACCAATAGCATTCTCTCTAGTTTTGAATGGAAGTTATAATTCACAGACTATTAAGATTAAGGATTTAGTAATCATGTTCATGTATCAAACAAAATCAAAGGGATAAAAAGTGTCAAAGCCTAATTCCATGATTTACCACCGAGCGACAGCATATGGAAGCAGCGGCGGATTCAGGATTGGGTAGAGCACTGGGCCACATTGGAAAAAAGTAGAGAAGATTGGGCCGTAACACGACGAACACTGAAACGAACACCAAAACGAACACCAAAAATCGAAAATTTACACGTGATATACTAGCTCCGGATCGAGGGAGGGTTGGGCCGTGGCCCGGGGCGGGCCCCCTAGATCCGCCACTGTATGGAAGAGTTGGCTCATCATGGCTGTTAGCAAAGGAAAGTCACTGATGGTATAAGATAGCAAAACTCTTATGCTACGGTACTCCCTTTATCACTTTAGTTATATTAGGATGTTAAAAAAAATTAGACAAAAGTTGACTAATTAGAAGCTTGGACAATAATACATATACGAAAAATTAAAAGTAAACTTTCGCCGACATCACTGAGAGATGTGTCATTGGAATGTGAATTTAATAAGATTATAGACTTAAAATATGAACTTGACCCGCGGGTTGACATAAGAATATAGACTTAAAATATGACCTTGACCCAAGGTTGTCAACCCACGGCTCGATCCGTTGGTTGGCCCACTTTAATCCTGATCCGATGAGAAAAATGAGTCGTACACACTCGTTGGATTGACCTCTACAAGGTATTGGGTTGGAAGTCAAAATGTGTCGTTTTTTCCTTTAATTTGCGAAATGTGCTTATTTTTCGTGTTTCCTTTTTTGCCTAACTCAATTTTTGGAATTCTAAGTTGAACATTTGAATATTGATGTTATATAAATGTGTGTGAATTTTCACTATATGCTGGATCTAAGTACGATATGTTATTTTGGTGTAATCTTATGTGTTATTAGTTATTACTCATATGTTAGATGAGATTTGATATAATTTATAAATGTATTAACAATATAATGACGGTCGGCCTATTAACCTTCAACCCACTTACTTGACCGGGCCAACGTGTTAAACCGGATTGACATCCTTGCCTTGACCCGATCAACAAAACTCGAGAAGAAGAAGAGAATATAACAACTTTGGTGGATGGGTTTGTTCAGCACATCGCCGAATACTCCAAGAGACCACAAGCTCTCTCTCTCTCTCTCTCTCTCTCTCTCTCTCATCCGTGGCTTCTATTTGGCATGTATTCATAGTTTGTTCTCATCCTTCCTCTCGCGGCCCGCCGTTGGATCTCCAGAAGCAGTAAACCAGAAGGTAAATCAAAGATCCATTCATGCTCACAATCCGCGTTAATTATATTCGATGCATCATAGATACGTTTTCCACCGTTCAAAATCAGTCGGATGGTAATATTTTCATTTTCACCGACTTCATTTCTGCTGAAAATCCATGGTCAACTACTCGATCAACTACGTACGTACCTGTTCCTTAATCAATCGATCTTGAAGTTTAAGTTTGTGGGTTCTACTGTACCGCAGAGGGAGAGATGATCGTTGACAAGATCCCAGCGCCGGTGAAGAACAATAAGGATAAAGGTAAAGCTGCGAGCAGCAGCCCGCCGTCGGCATGCTCGCCGGGTTCTGCTCCGGCTAGGCATGAAGGCAGGCCCAACCTTCGTTGGACCCGAGATCTCCATGGGGCTTTCGTCGAAGCTGTTACTGCACTTGGCGGCCCGCAAAGTAAAAATTTCATTATATCATCGCCTATAGCTAGTTGTTGATTTCGTGAAGCAAAAAAGAAATATAATAATAATAACAATAATAATTAATTAGTTTCCAAATAGATTTTACTAGAATTATAGATGCAATTATTCTATTCTATTTTAAATGTATAGTTTTCTACTTTTCTTGCTAAAAAATATTATTAATTTCATATTTCTATTGCAGGAGCTACACCTACGCCCATTTTACAGCACATGAATGTTCCGGAACTTACTCTACCCGATATCAATAATCATCTCGAGGTAAATGAAACAATAAAAAATTGGAAATAGAATCCACAGTCTAGTGATTAGGAACGGCAATAGGCAGGTTTTGGCTAGCACCTCAATATTCTCGTCACGTTGCAGGTCGGATTCATGTCGCGTAATTTATCATATGTCTTGGGTTGGGGCAATAATTTAAAAACAAATATGTCCATGTAATTTGAAATGAAAACTTCAAAAAGGTCATTTTTCATTAAAAACTAAAAAAAATAGTATGAGAAGTTTGGTTAAATTAATCTAGAAATTTAAATTCTCACCTATTTATAACTTCATTATAGTTAAAAATGAGATAATAAAAGTGAAATCCTGCGTAATTTGAGAAAGATTACATTTACCTTTAGGCAGTCGAGAATGAGACGAGCTAAAGCAGGTCCGGTCGAGAAGAGTATTCATATCCGCTTCGCCCCTTTACTCGTCCCACCACAAGCCAAACCAAGTCGGATAGAATGGGTTAGGTCGAAATCGTCATCCCTACTACCGATGTGCAAAATATCGTTACTCGTTAGAATCATAGTATATCATGGTATTTTTTGTTTTGCTACAACACCACTTAATAATATTAGTAATAAATCATAGTAATAGTAATAGTTATTATTATTATTTTTTTTTCTCTTTTCTTGACAAATAAGTTTTTTCTTTCTATAAGCAGAAATATAGACACTTTATGCATTGTATGCGTGGAGTCATGAAGGACGACCACCCAAACAAAGGTAATTAATAACTAATAAAATTTTACAGCACTCTCTGTCGGTATTTTCACCGCAATTCAATTTCTTTATCATCAGTCTTTTAACTTAGCGGTACCATTTGAAAATTCGTTGAATTCTTGGATGGAATCCTTTTATGTTTTTTTTAGTTTGATTATTTATTTGCTTTTAGATTCTCCTCCGTTCGTCCCTACCCTTACTGCTGCTGGGGAACGAGCCCTGCCATTGCTGGATTTTACGTCACATATGGAGCCTATTCGTCTTCCAATGGTATTATTATTAATCATTACAAATCTAGTTACTTGTTTCAACTCGGATTGTTGGGATAACCAGTAACACACGATCCTCATAATTTTCATAGATCCGTGATGAGGTGGAGAAAGTCGTCTCTAATCTCAGGTCAGTTGTTGACAACACCAAACATCAGCATTCGAATGTGATTTGTCTTTTCATTTTTTCTTTCATTATAGAAAAAAATAGTTTCCTTTCAAACTACCATGATTCAATTTTCTGGTATGTCTTTGATTTTACGGCTTTGGAATTTCAGTAAAATTTGAATAAGAATTATGATTGATTCATTTTTCATTCTTATTTACGACAGTGCATCATGCAGTCAAACTACTCTGACATTGGCAGGAGCAGATCAAGCATATTTTTTACGATTTGTGAACAGATTACCACCCACCATATTTACCGGCAATAAGATTGTAGCTGAAGATGGAAGCCCTCTCAGGATTGAGCTCTTAGATGTCGCCACCAATGTGATTGTTACATTAGCGCCATTTGCTTCCTTGAAGATTGAGGTCGTTGTTCTTGACGGTGACTTTGTCTCAGAAGATTGGTCTGATCAAGATTTCGAGAACAATGTGGTTAGGCAAAGAGATGAGAGAAGACCTCTGGTGACTGGTGAGCTCACCACTGTACTCAGAAATGGAGTGGGCGAGCTAAGTAATGTGGCTTTCGGTGATAACTCAAGTTGGATCAGGTGTCGGAAGTTCATGTTAGGAGCTAGAGTCATGCAAAAGAAAAGTGCTTCAGGGGAAGTTGTTCGGGTTAGAGAAGCCAGAAGTGAACTATTCGTCGTTAAAGATCTCCGTGGAGAATGTGAGTATTTGAATAAAGGAGCATTTGAAATAAACCAAAAAAATCTTAAATGGGTTGGAGAAGGGTTCTAACATGATTCTTAGATGGTGTTAGGTTTGCTTAAGATTGGCATGTTACCCCTAAAACCTATATCCTTCAAATTTGATTGTTTCAGTGTACAAAAAACACTTCCCTCCAAGGCTGGAAGACGAAGTTTGGAGGTTGGAGAAAGTGGCAAAAGATGGAGCGATTCACAGACGACTGTCTTCCTACGGAATCAATACTGTGAAACAACTTCTTCAGGCCAATGTCATCGACCAATCTGCTTTGAGAGATGTAAGTAAACTTTCGCTCAACCTGTTGCATTCATTGCCAGCCAAACTGACGAGATAGCTCTGGTTTGTAAATATTTGCAGCATATTCTTGGAGGTACGATCTCGACAAAAACATGGAACAAGATCATCGAGCATGCCAATGCCTGCGTTCTCGACAAAAGTGAGGTCTACGCCTACACGGAGCATGGCGAAGGCATTAGGCTCTTGTTCAATTGTGTATACAAGCTTGAAAGCGTCTCGTTTGACGATGGCCAAACTTACCCTTCTCTGTATGATCTAACTCCATATCAGAAGGTAAACTCTACAATCAAACTTTTATTGAAACATCAAAATATATGTAGTTTTGGACTGAACTAACAGGGGATTCTGCTGTGACAGGTTTTGATTGAGCACTCAAAGAGGCGGGCTTTGTCCAACCCTAAGAACTTGATCCTTGTGGGTTCTTGTTTTGAGCGATTTCAAACATTAAACTTTCTTGGCAAGCAAGACCCTAAAAGATTTGGAATTGACGACGGTAATGTTTTTATAAGAAGACTTCCAACTAAAAGAGTGATATTTGTTTCTACATATTTATTTAACGATTAACATGAACAGAGGTATGGTTGAGTCACGTTTTCATTTTCATTTTCCATTTCCATTCTCCAAGAGTCCTGATAAAAGTTGCCTTTTCTGTTATGGTGAACAACCTTTCCTGACAGGTAAATCCGAACCGGATTTGGATATCAGATCAATACTCCGCCAAAAAGACTCGTCATCGGTCGAGAAAGAGCATATGTTTGACAAAGTATTGACACCTAGCGATGTCGGCAAGTTGAACCGCCTAGTGATTCCAAAGCAGTACGCAAACACATACTTCCCGCCAGTGGTACATTTCTCCAAGAAAAAGGGACTGATCCTGAGATTTGATGATGGAGAAGGGAAGCTCTGGCAGTTCCGCTACTCCTACTGGAACAGCAACCAGTGCTACGTGTTGACTAAAGGTTGGAGCAGGTTCGTGAAGGAGAAGAATCTTAGAGCTAGAGACACAATCTCCTTCCACCGTGATGTCGGAAATAATGTTTTTTACATAGGCTGGAAACGGTGGCCCAATCTTGAAGAAGATCACTCGCCTTATCTCCCATTCGACCTCCATGATCAGCAGCAGTCTAGCCTCACAACTGAGCTAGTGGCACCACTGACCTTATCGTCCCTGTTTGGCCTCGTAAATGACCAACAATCTAGTCTCACAACCAAACAAGTGCTTCCATTTAATTACTCCTATTCATATGCATCAGATGTAATGAAATGGGAAGCGGAGGAAGTCACGACGCTTCACTCGGTAAGTTCTAATTTCCCAAGGTATCTCTACCATTAATTCTTGAACCTCTGTCAATATCTCAAGTTGTTGGAATGAACTAGTTCAAATATCAAACGTACTATTTCACTTATCTTGTGGGTTTTCTTGTTTGATCGTGTAAATACAGCCAAGTCCGGAGAGGCTATTGGAAGAGATCCAAATGTCAGAGTTCAAGTTTAATGCTGATGACACATACAATGACATAAATTTCAGACTGAGTGATAGTGGAACTAACCTTGATCTAGATCTTGGATTTGGTACGAAATCTACTATGCCACTGAATCTTATAGGTTCGTTGGGGACGACATCTAGCCTTGATGTTGGAACTAGAATGTGTTCCATTCCAGATAGTAGATATAGTGGAGTGCTACAATCTCTTAAATCTCAAGTTGTTTCTTGCATTCAATTGCAAGAAGACAAGAAAGTTGGTGATAAAATGTTGGATAGTACAGAATCAAGCAAGACAGAGGCTACAAATTACCTAGCCTCATTCGAGTTAGAGCCTGCTCACAACAACTCCATGCATACAGAACAACTATACATCTCAAAATCTCCCTCGCTTCTATTTTGTGCACACTACTTTGTGACCCTTTCCTTCCCATACTGCAAACTTCGCCAACTATGGAATGGAGGGGAGCAGGTAATAACAAAATCTCTTCTTCATAACTCACAGCAACTACAATCACACTAGTGTTTCATTCGTATATAAGATGCTACCTTCTTGCAGCTACTTGTGAGCTTGAAGCACCTTGACGCAAACCACTGCAATATACTCTGTATTCCAAACCTATCAAAAGCCCAAAAACTCGAGATTCTGAATCTTGAAGGCTGTGCAAACTTGGTTGGGGTCTCATCGATTCAGTATCTTAAAATGCTTCAACTTCTCAATCTTAAGGGATGTCAAAGTCTGAAGAGACTTCCAAGTCTGATCAGATTGAAGTTGCTCAAGACTCTTGATCTCTCTCACTGCTCAAATCTGACCAGGCTTCCTCCATCACTTGGGTGTCTGCCAACCCTTTGTGAATTGAGCCTTAAGAATTGTGAAAAGCTCGAGAATCTCCCACGTAGTGTTATGCACTTGATGAAATCTCTCGAAACTCTCAACATTTCTGGTTGCTCAACGATGCTTAAATCCATTAGTAGAGATGACAATGCAGTTCCCTCATTAACACAGCCACCATCCGCACTTCCTTTCATGCCTTCTTCAGGAGTCACACAAGAGGACAATCTACCTTGCAATTGCACCGATATTCCAATAAGAAATTGTAAGTTGATTGAAGTAATTTCAGTTGACAATTACAGCAACCTGACTATTGTTTCTATTTGCTCTTAATTATTGCAGTTACTAAAGACACTTATCTTGTGCCACAACCACAACCAATCACAACTGTGCAACAAGATTCTGATGGAGATTTGGCGTTGCAAGATGTATCTTCTTATTTACTGGACATTAGGGGGGAGAAGGCTGTAGAATCAAAGGATGATGATTCTATGATGATTCCTTTGATTATTTCTCTACTTACAAAGCTCAGGACTGCACTAACATTTCCTCTTGATACAGATTCTTCCCATGCTTGCTCATCTTCTTCCCAAGATTACAACACCCTGTCCATAAACCACACGGAAGATAGTAGTTCAGGACAGGAGGTTAGTATGATTTTGGCAGCTCCACATATGGAAGATCAACGACAATTATATAAAGATGATGATCATAAGGAGAAGCCACTTTATCCCAATGCTAAGCCTATTTGTTGTCAAGTGGAAGATTGTGAATTTGAACTTAGCAGCAAAAATTCGTATCACCAACAACACAAGATTTGTGAGGAACATAGCAATGCTAATGAAGCATTGGTAGGAAATATTCTGCAGCGATTTTGCCACCAATGTTGTAGGTGAAAACTTGAACTTAAAGAACCTTGCTGACCCTTTCCGTAAAACTTCCCATAACTGATAGCTGAGATTTTGGTTACTTCTCTTTTTGACAGGTTTCATGATCTAATCAATTTTGACGAAGGGGAGAGAAACTGTAGAACTCGGTTAGCAGGTTATCATCAAAAGCATAGGAGGCAGACCAGTTTCACCACTGGTACGGAGGAAGAACTTTCACCTACTAGATCGGATTTGGATGGTGAGAGTAATACTGTTATATCATATGAAAATGAAAAATGTTTGCTTAATAAGAGAACTAGAACAAGTGATTTTGCTATAGAGCAAAATCAGCATGTCGACGCTTTGGAGAATCAACTGAGATTTTCAGTACAACATTGGGACGAAACCAGTGCCATCAGAAACATCGAGGAAGACGTTTTCGCTTTGATTGATGAGCTTTCGGGTTGGCATGACAAGGGAAAGGAAGTCCCAAAGAGTGTGCTGGCATGGGTAGCAGAGATGGAACAAAGTATTCCTGAGACGGTGAGGAGTATGAAGAATGCCAAAGTTGAAGCAGTTGTGATTGCAGGTTATAAGAAGAAGATGGATGTAATGTTGGTTATAGGAGAACTAGAGCTGAGATTGTTGGACATGGAATTGTCAAGGATAACAGAAGAGGAAGATGAGATAGAAGCTGAGCTTCAACGATTGATGGACAAGAAGAGAGAGATATTGCAGCACTAGGAAGTTCGATCTCAACCATGGAATTGGAGTATTGAACCATAGTAACAATAAAATCAAACACCAACGCGACCATGTTAATTATGCTTTGTAATGGATCCTGGGGGAGTGGGTGTTACTAAAATTCTACAAAGATTGGACATTTTTCTTCTTTATTTTCCTACTACAATTTCTAGGCCATATATATTCGCCACAACTAGTATTCACCAAATCTATATTGGAGTTCTCCCATATATAAAATATCTAAAGATGGGCCGAAATCAGGAGGGTAATCCAGGCGAGCAACAATATATTCGCCACTTCGGCTCCTCCATTCCAAAACGGCATTGACCAATGGATTTTCCACCAGGCGCGGCGCAAATGCATTCTTCAATGGCTTCGCTCCGCAGCTTGCCCTAGACGACGTACCCTTCTTCCACCACCCTGTTCTTCATCCCTTCCGTCACTTCAATTTCAATGAACCTCTCTCCCAATCCCTTAATCATCTTCGCGAAGTCGCTGGCCATAAAGTCAACCATTTGCTCCACATTTTCCCTCGTCAACTCGTTAAACAACAAGATCTCATCAACTGGGTTGGATATTTCTGTCCCGAGGATGCTACTCACAAAATGTGAAATGCTCTATCAGAGAAAAATTCAATTTTTTCATCCGCCACTCCAACGGCTAACAAAGCAATTAGCTGGTCTGATGTCGTTTTAGGCAAATCGAAGCAAGATCCACCTGCAATGGTGTCGTCTCAACTAAAGGCTCCGAAGATTGTCAAGACGTCGTCGTAGCTGGCAACCAAGACTGAAGAAGATCAAAACGCCGTCGTTGTGCCCTGAAGCCACAACGTCTCTTTCATTTGCTCAGCTTGTGTTCCCTCCTTGCTAGGGATGGCAATGGGTCGGGTTGGGGCGGGTTTTGCCAAACCCAAACCCAAACCCATGGGTTCGTCCGTCAAAAAAACCCGAGGTAAAACCCGCTAGGTTTGAAAAACTCATACCCAACCCAACCCGCTGGGTATCCGCGCGTTGATGGGTACCCGTGGGTTTTTTTGGTAAAATATTTATAAATAATAATTAACAAGAAACTATCAAAATAAAAAATCAAACATAAATCTCACCATACAATTATCCATACATAAAACATCGTTCTAGAAAATTCAAGCAAATCACACACAATATCATCATCTCCACTAACAATTGGAGTTCCGGCTTCAGAAGCATTTGAAGCCATATCAAGCACCTACACAAAGCAAAATCACGAACTGATTACAGGTAATCATCACGACTCAACGGAAGTATGTTTCTCAACGTTATTAACACTCCCAGTCCTTCTCTTGCTACTACTACTGCTATTCCTACTCTCTGAAACCTTCCCCACTGCCTTCCTCTTCCCAGCAGACTTCCTGGGATAGATAAAGGAAGCAACTTTAGCCTAACATTCATCTAAGGAACCATGGCTGCCATCCCACTAAGAGGTGGACAAGATTTAATCCACGATATCTATTGGGATAAAAAAACCCAGTCCAGAACCTGATGTTGAAGCCTTTTAAAACCGAAATTTCTAACCTTGATAACCCATATATAGTAATCAATCAATTACAATCTTGAAATTGATATTCACCCATTCAAAAGGATCATGAATTCATGGTGTGCTTCTGCTATTAATCAGTTCGTGATGATTACCTGTAATGGAGTCGGAGAGGGCGCGGCGCGGCCGGTAATGGAGTCGGAGAGGCGAATGCTCGGCAGAGGGTTTTGGTGGTGGCGGGATTCGGGAATGGAGGCGGAAGCTCGGCTCGGCAGAGGGTTTTGGTGGTGGCGGGGCGGCCGTCGCCAGGCGGATTGGGAGTCGGGAGTTGGGACGGGAAGTGGAGATGAGGAGTCGCGGAGAGATTGGCGTGGCGGCGGCGATGGGAAGTGGGACTTGGAAATGAGAATTGTCTCTGGGAAGAAGAGGGAAGGAAGTGGGCTGGGATTGGGGAGGTCGTAGTCGACTTGGGTAATTTGGGGCTAGGGTTAGACAGATGTATGTCCGGGTATCCGCGGGTCGGATTCCCCCAAACCCGAACCCGCCCCAACCCGCCCAACCAGCCACCGGTTTAAACCCAAACCCGGCCCGAACCCGGTCAACATGGATTTTACCCGGTTTGACCGGGTTGGGTTGGGTCGGTACCCGCGGGTCCGGGTTGAACTGCCATCCCTACTCCTTGCTCTGCACCTTTATATTTCTTCTCTATCAATTTACAGGCTCTTTGTCCTGTAATGCACAAACCATGTATATAAGATCAAACTGAATCAATGAGAAGACAAGTTTAGGGTTTCCAAAGCGTACATGTTGTGATGGTATCAAATGAACCCTAGTCGCCACTCTACAATGGCAACAACACAAACACCATATCCCACTACGGATCCTTTTTATCTCCATGGTTCTGAACAACCTGGACTTCTTCTGGTAGGTGAGAAGCTGACCACCACCAATTACAATGACTGGAGCAAGGCGATGCTCAATGCTCTGGCCGCCAAGAATAAGTTTGGCTTTATCAATGGCACCATCCCTTCCCCTGATCCCACTGATACTCTGTTCTCATCCAAGAGTCGAAACAACATCATGGTCCTCAGCTGGATTCAACAGGCTATTGACCATGGCATCAAGAAAACAATTATGTCTTCCAAGCTCGCATCAGAAGTCTGGAATAGCCTCAAGGCTCGTTATGGACAAGGTGACATGATCCGCGTTGCTGAGCTGATTGAGTCCATTGGCATGCTGAAACAAGGTAACCAAACTGTGATCGAATATTATGGAAATATTATTGCTCTCCAAGATGAGCTTGACAACTATCAGCCCATCAATCCATGTCGTTGCACAGCTACTAGTTCGGTTGATTGTGCTGCTATGAATGCTGTTGTTGGCTATCGTGAAGTCAACTCTGTTATTCAGGTCCTTCGAGGTCTTAATGATAATTATGCCACTTTCCGTTCTCAAGTGTTATTTGGAGACACTCTCCCATCAATTGATAGGGTTTTTCAGAGGGCTTTGCAACATGAACGCCAACTCTATGGCACTCAACAAGGCAAAACTATCACTGCTGAAAGTTCAGCCTTTACTGCTCAGTGTCCTAAACGCCCTTTTAACTCTGTCAAACGACCCCATTGCACTTTCTGCAATACTCCAGGCCACACTGAAGACACATGTTATCACAAACATGGTTGGCCACCAGGCTTGTCATCAAGAGGATCTTCTATGAACTCAAACCCCTCAGCTAAACGTCCATAATACACCTTTTGCAAGAGGATTGGCCATACTGAAGACAAATGCTTTAAGAAGCATGGTTACCCTCCATCCTCTCAAGCTGGACCACCTCCCACATGCTCCAGAATAATGATCAATGCCACTGAAAGTGGCCCTCCTTCAGATTCACAGACATAATTCAAACTTACCAAAACTGATTAGGACAGGCTGATGACTCTTATGAATGACAATCTCAAGGGCAAACAGTCTTACCCTTCTCATTCAGCAGCCCTGACCACACATTATGAGCCTGAATCTTCAGGTATTCATTCTTGCTATCTTCTAAACAATAGCATTTCTGATACTCCATGGATTCTTGACACAGGGGCAACTGACCACATAGTCAGTTCACTCACTTTCTTGCATACATTCAAAAAGGTGGATCATATTTACATAAACTTACCTACTGGAGATAGAGTTTAGGCCACTCACATTGGCCAAGGGCATTGCCTCAATGGATTGATCCTTGAGGATGCCCTATTTGTTCCCAAATTTACCTTCAATCTAATCTCATTAAGCAAATTAACCACCACCAGACCTCTGTGTTTAACCTTCTCTTCTGACTCTTGCACAATACAAGACCTGGAGCCGAAGAGAGTGACTGGTTATGCTAAGCTTTCCCATGGCCTTTACCACAGTAACCTAAACTTAGCTAGTATACCTAACCACATCACAGCTGCTGTTAGTTCACCTTCTTTAGACATTTGGCATTTCAGATTTGGCCATGTTTCCCACAGTCGAATTCCTCCATTGAATCAGCTTTGTAAATCCATAGAAACCAACAATAGCTTACCTTGTGATGTTTGTCATTTTTCCAAACAAAAGAGGCTTCCTTTCCCTTCAAGTTCAACTGTAACTACACATTGTTTCCAAATCATTCATGTTGATATTTGGGGCCCCTATTCCTATCCTACTTATGATGGATTTAAGTACTTCTTAACCATCGTAGATGATCATTTCAGGATGACTTGGATCATCCTACTCTCCTCCAAGGCTGATACCAGATCCAAACTACAACATTTCTGCACAATGATCAAAACCAAAATTTAAATCGAATGTTCAAACTATTCGTAGTGATCAAGGACAGGAATTCCAAATATCTTATTTTTTTGCAGATTCAGGCGTCACACATGAAATGTCTTGTGTGGAGACTCCTCAACAAAATAGCAAAGTTCTCAAGTTCCAAGCCAATCTACCAATAGGTTTATGGGGTGATTGTTGACTCGCCGTTTCCGTCACACTAGAAAATGGCCAAGTGCAACCACCTACTAGTGCGTAGTATAGCGGGTTTGGGTTTTAATGTCAACCCGGGTCCTAAGTGTGATGACTACTCCGCGAATTCTTATTATTTAGCAATGAAAGTGTAGTGAAGGTGAAAGTAAACAAACAAGCAAAGCAGTAAAAGATTATTTTCAAGTTGAGAGAGGTCACCCGGATATGGTTCCCCCTAGACTGTAGTTAAGCCAAATTGTAATGTACCAAGTTCGAATTCAAAGATAGTTATATTGCGGGAGGTTCTTAAACAGTCTGCAGTCTCGACTAAAGGTCTCCAGACCCTCTCAATCTGAGTCCCCAGCGGGCGACTAACCTCCACCGGAGTAAACAGATTGAGGCCCTAACGAATCGAACCTCCTCTACCGAAGTAAATCCGGTACAGAAGAGTGAATTGACTCCTCGACTAAAGTCATCAATTCACCTCCTTCAATCAAGGGTGCTCTATCAACCTA